TGTAATTGAGCAAGGAGAAGACTCCATTCCAAACTTTTTCTAGAAATACGTATTATTTCATGAAATCCTAGCCAACAGTATGTAAATCAAAGAGGTAAACCTACAAAATTTTAAGAGGTAAAAAAACTCCTACTTTTTATGATAATCAAGAAAAATAAATTCATCACTATATTTAAAAATCTTCTTTTTAAATAGTTAACATTTAGCAAGGGGAACCAAGAATACTTTAATTCCACAAAGGAAAGATGATACAGTGGAAAGAATTGAGCTTGGTATAAGGCAGCTTGCCACTTCTTAGCATGTATGAGAAAAAAACACACAAAAAAGAAACAATAGTAACTATACAATAGCAACAAAAGCCATAAAATTCTTAGAAATAAAGTTAACAAAAAATGTCAAAAGCTTGTATAAATAAAACTGAGAGACACAAAAGTTAACTTGAACAAATGGAAAAGATAACCTCTTATTCCTGGATAATTAAATATCACAAATAGATTAGTTCTTACTAATTTATAAAGTTAATGAAATTTCAATTTAGAATATCAACAACCTTTGTTTTGGAATTAGCCAAAATGATACCAAAGTTCATACAAAAAAATAAACATTCAAGAATAGCTAGAAAAACACGAAAAAGAAAAGCTACATTGGTGAATTAGCCCTACCAAAGAAACAAAAACATTTTAAAGCACTGTAATTAAAACAGTGTGGTACTGACATAGCAGTATGCAAATGACCTACTGGAACAGAATGGAAAGTTCAGAAATAGACCAGTACATGTGGAAATTTAGCATATAATAACAATGGCATCTTAAATCAGTGCAACAAAGATAGACCTTTTAATAAATTGTACTAAGACAACTGGCTAATGATATAGAAAGAATAAAAATTAGATCAATAACTCACACCATACATAGGAATAAACCCCATACAAAGGAATAAACTTCAAACAAATCAGAAATCTAAATATAAAAAGTGAAATCTTACCAAGTACTAGAAAAAAATAAGAGTGAACTTCTCTTTACCTGAGGAAAAGGCTTTTTTCTATAAGGAAAGGCTTTATAGTGAAAAGGCTTTCTAACCATAACTTAAAATCCAAATATGATAAGAGAACAGTAAGTCTGACTACATGGTGGGGAGGGGTGAGTTTTACATGGCAAAATATAGACTATATAAAGTAAAAATACTACCCTTTACATAGATAAAGACTAAATCCATAATAAACTCTTCAGAGTTAAGACAAAAAGACCAAAATCCATTTTAAAAATGGTCCCCCCAAAAAGACAATTCACACACAAATAATAAAATGGACAGTGAACAGATGAAAAGATGGTAAAGTACATCCACAATAAGATTGTAAATTAAACTACTACCTACCAGACTGGCAAATATTGAAAAGTAAAGCAATGCATGTTGTCAAAGCTGTGGGGAAACAGGCACTCATATTATTGGAGTGAATGCAAATTGGTATAACCCTTATGGAGAGGAATTTAGCAATATCCAACAAAACTGCAAATGTGTTTATGTTTTGAGGAAGCAGTCCTACTTTCTCTTAATCTACACTGAAGATATACATCTAATTTAAAAAGGACATATGTAAAAGGTTTTTCATAACAGCACTCTTAGAGATTTACAAAATACTAAAAAGAAATTAAATATCCACACATGGAAAAATGGTTGAATTAATGCTGCAATGCTATGTAGCTACAAAAAGGATATGCAATGACTCCCAAGAACCATAGCTAAGAGAAAAACCAAAATATAAAAGAGTATCTCTAATGTATTCCCTACCTTTCATGTAAGAAAGAAACCAAGAAAATTATTCTTAACTGCTCATTTGTGCAAAAGAAACCCAGAAAAAATAAACTAAAACATAATGAGATTGGCCATATACAGGGAGTGAGCACAAACAAGACAGAGAGAATACGAGGGAAAAATACATGTATATTTCTGGCTTTTGGAACCAGGTTAGTGTTTCAGATTTTTTTTTAAAAAAATCAGAAAGAATGGGGATAAAGTTCTAAGAATGGATAGATACATACAGAAACAGATGAACCAAACTGTATTTCAAATAAATAATGTAACTGTGCTAGAGGAAAAAATTTACGTTAAAAAAATAAATTAAAAAAAAATAAGACAGAACCAACTCAAATATCTCTGAACAGAATATATGGGTTTGATACAGCGATGATAAAATGTAATAAAGCACTGTGGAGTCAGACAGCTTGGATTTAAATACTTGGCCATTTATTCATGTGCTAAGTGTGACCCTGGACCAGTTACTTTATCACTTCTTTGTGCACAGTTTGCCTACTCCAAATAATAACCAATCTCATAATACTAATGTTATGTCTCAAATAAAACCACACATGTAAAAACGTTAGATCATTGTGCATATAAAAAGTACTTGGTATTTGCTATCATCAACTACTAATCCAAAGAAAACATTGAATATGTGGGCACCCAAGAGAAACACGTAGTAAAAATGGAGTCCTTGTCATGAAAAAAAAAATTTGGAAATTTTCTAGTGTTCAAGGAATTTAGAATAGCAAAATCCATATGGCTGGCTAGAATCATCTGGGAAATTTCATAAAGGAAGAATCTGGCATGGGTCTTAGACATAGATAGAAGAATGGGAGTGATACGGAAAGATAATGGGAATCTGAATAAAAGCAGAGAGGTCATAAAGACCAATATAGGTCAAGGGCCGTGACACAGAAAGGTTGGAAAGCTGAGTATTTGAAGATCAGGCAAGACTATGGAAGCTCCTAAATGTATAATTGAACTGGGCAGGTTTTATTTTCTAGACTACGAGGAACCACAAGAGATTTGTATGTAAGAGAAACAACATGACCAAACTGAACTATGGGATTATTTTAGTGTTGGTATATAGAAGGAATCAGAAGGAAGAGATCAGAAGTAGTCTTATGAGTGCTTCAGCCAAACAACGACAAGGGCCTGACTAGAATGGTAGTGACGAGGAAAGGAAAGAAGGAATAAATCAACAAGGCAGTGAGGGGAATAAAAAAATGAAATCAAGTTTGATAATGATTGCATATGAGGTATGAGAGAATAGGTTTTAGAGAATAGAAGAGTCTGAATGACAAGATAAATGATAATGCCATTAGAAGGAAAAAGGAATTCAAACTAACCGAAATGATTTCTATTGGGTCTTCAAAGTGAAGTCAGGGTTGTATAAGAAGCCTTGACAATTTGAGATAACAGCACAACATTGAGATACCAAGAACCAGTGGGCATTTGGCAACATGGGAATAGTGATTGGGAGAGAAAGAGTGAGAACTGATGACAAAATTTGTAGATTTGTTTCCTAAGAAACTAAAACCACCTTAGAATGTTCGAACCATTCTAAAGCAGGACACTAAAATGTGTGCTACTTCAGAGCAGTAATCATCTCACTTTTTTTACATCCCAAAATGTTTAGCATAGTTTTTAGCACACGGGAGACTCTCAGCAGAATGTTGCAGAGGTGGGAGGAGTAGAGGAAGGTATAGAACTGCATGTCTTACTAATGGCAGAACCTTGACTATAGCCCAGGTCTCCTGACTCTCCACTATACCATAACATAGAGATGACCTCCAAACATCCATTCATAGGATCCCCTAAAGAAATAGTGTAAGAAATGACAATAAAATGAATGGTGGGGATTGCTGGTTTCTAGGGACAAAGAGAGACATAAGAAAATAGTAAAGAAAGATCAAAGTTATTGCAGGTGTGTGTGTGTGGGAGATGATAGTGTTGAATAATAGATTCAAAGGAAATATTTAAAGAAAGGAAGCAAAGTAAAAATATCAAATGATCCTCTGCTACAGTCAATGTTTCTCTGGTCTACTATACCTGTGAGACCTGAAAGGACAGAACAGGACTGATAGCTGTGTCCTTAACCCCTCTTCCAAGAAAAAGCTGCAGAATGTATCAGTTACTCAGCCTGCCCTTATCTCGGCCAATGGGAAAGCGGGGGAGACTAGCCCAAGGCCAAGAGTATGCTAGCCACCGCCCTGTATTTGTGTAACCAGACCCTAGCTCAGCTGTGGGCAAACTACGGCCAGTGGGCCGGATCCTGCCCGGGCTGTTCTATCCGGCACCTGGAGCCCAGCGGAGGGTTCTCTTGCTCTCCCCTCCGCTCCGCTCCGCTCCTTCACCAGCAGCAGTGTTAACATGGCAACGTTGGGAAACACGGCCGCAGCTCCTTCTTCTGAGTCCAGTTTAAGAATCCACTATGGCCCTCGAGTCAAAAAGTTTGCCCACCCCTGCTAGCTGCACCCTGCCCTTGCGTCACTAGCCCCCGGCCCTCACTCAACCAACCGGAATCGGCCAAATCAGTGGTCAGAGTGTGCCCCCACCCCCCCCCCACCCCAAGCCCTATAAATTCTTTGTTCCCTTGGGACTCGGGGCTCTCTCTTGCATCCAGTAATGGAGGCAAGGGAGGGGGGGGACCAAGTCCCGGGCTTGAATAAAAGACTGGATGCTTTTGCATTGGACTCGGCACTCCCTGGTCGTTCTGTGGGGGTTCTTGAAATCTGGGTGTAACAAGACCCAAGGGAGGAGAGGTAACTTTTTAAAAGTAGAAAGTACCATGTTTTAATCTACATTTCACAGCATTTTAAATACATGAATCACTAATAGCAGTAGTTAAAAAATAATGTAATCTTCAGATTTTATTTCTACACAACATATAGCAGAAAATAAAATCACTATAGTAAATAGTTGAGCTGAACAAAAATATGCACAATAAATGAAATGTGAAGCAAAAAGAAACAACTGAAAATCATGTATTAATAGCAAAATACATGAAATACTGAAGGTCTTACCTTAAATCTCTTGTCTTGCAATACTTTCTTGATGGCAACCAATTCTCCTGAATCACAAAGTTTGGCTTGATATACCACACCAAATGACCCATTTCCAATCACTTTAGTGTCTGTATAGCTGACTTCTTGCGGCCTGTCTGGACCCTGCCCAGGAGTTGCCACCACTGTGGTCACCTTACTGCCATCCTTGTCTCCTAAAAGAAAAAAGGTATAGACAAATGAGAAATGTAAAGAATTAAACAGAGAAAATTGCCAAAGTATACAAATTAAACTATATTCTTTGCCACAAGCTATTTTTAAATGTTTATCTCAGTTTATCATATAGAGTTACTTCAACTATTTGTTTCAATTTAAGTATTTCTTTCCCACCATTTATTCAGTAATTCTATAGATCAGGTGCACCATGCTTAATACATGTGACTCTATATTTAATGGAAACAACACCATGAAGATAATAGTACTATTCCCATATTAAACATAATGGGAAGAAAGGTGAACTCACTAAGGTTTGAATCCTATCTATACAATTCTAAAAAGCCCTAGTTATTTCCTCAAGGCTTCCTTATTGTACTTGAAAATAAAATATGTGAAGTTGCAAATGTCTAAATATGCTCACTCTATTCACACTACTCTGCCTTTAGGAAGGTAAGTTTTTTGCTTCTTCATGTCTTATTTCTTTTTTAAGAAAACAGTGGAATGCCTCTTAGAAGGTCAGATGGAAAAAAGTAACAGGGAAAGAATGTTAATTTGGGGTAGGAAATGCAAAATCTATTCTGAACTTAGCTTCATTCATAAGTAGCTCACTGGCTCTGGGGTATCTGCTCACTCATGGCCCTCTCCTACCTTTTTTGCCTTTCTTCACCTGATCTCCTGACCCAGAAACAATCTAAAGTCTCTGCAATTCAAGCTCAAGAGCCACTTCCTACTTGGCATAGTTCACAATAATCTTTTCCTCTGAATTCTTAATCTACTCTAAACAATCCTATGCTACCTAGCACCTAACTTTAGAGCTCTAAATTATTCTGTTATTGATTTCAAAATACACACAGATTCTTGTGAGTACAATCATTTGAAGCAGCAATTATGATTTCTGCTACTTCTCTCTTCCTTGACAAATCTAAAACCAATTCTCAGTACAAAATAAGTCCATAGGCTCAATGACTAAACTACACATTTTCCTTTTTGTCCTCTACTACTTTAATTATCAATTTTATTTTTAAGATGCTAACCTAATAAAAGAAAAAATAATGTAATATTTAACTCTAGATAGCAAGTCAAGATTATGAAGCATTCATTTGTACCTCATATATAAAAGGATAAAAACTAGATTAAAAAATATAATCTAGTTTTCCAGTGGCTTGAGTGTTTTCTCCTACCAAATATAAAACTGTAAGATAAATGAATATACTAATATTAGTGGTATATTATAACCAATATTTTAGTCATTTAAGTTCACAGAGGTATTAATATACACAAAAGTCAATAATATGCACAGTCTATATATTATATTAAGGACAGCTATCTTTTCAAATTAATTTTTTTTATTGGTTTCAGAGAGAGGAAGGGAAAAGGAGAGTTAGAAACATCAATGATGAGAGAGAATCACTGGCTGCCTCCTGCACTCTCCTCGCCCCCTCAACTGGGGATGGAGCCTGCAACCTAGGCATGTGCCCTGAGCCTCCTGATTCATGGGTCGATGCTGAACCACCGAACCACACAAGCCAGGCTATGGCCTGTTATCTTAAACATATGTCTTTAGTTCCAACGTGAACCACCCCAATAGGTATGATTTAGTTAGCACAGGTCCAACACCACTTCTAGAAAGAATAACTTAAATCTTATCAACACCATCATTTTACAACAGTATCGCATATGCTTTAAATGCTTTAAATGTATATAAACCTGAACACAAGCCAACACATACATAATAGTTCTCAAGGTTTTCAAATGCTCCCTTCACATCTCATTTCCAAGTAAAAGAAATCTTAAATATACTAGCTAAAAAAACTAGTTTAACCTAGCCATTTTGGCTCAGTGGACAGTGTGTCGTCCCTCGGACTAAAGGGTCCTGGGTTCAATTCCTAGTCAACGGCATGTATGTACCTTGGTTGCAGATTCGATCCCTGGCCCTTGTCGGATGTGTGCAGGAGGCAACCAAACATCACTCACATCAATGTTTCTATCTCTCTGTCTCTCCCTCTCCCATCCACTCTCTCTAAAAATCCATGGAAAAACATCCTCAGGTGAAGATTAAAAACAAAAAACAAAACAAAAAAAAACGAACAGTTTAGTTTAATCTAAGCTGAGTTCTAAGTCATCATGCTCCATTCCCCCCAAAAAAACTATTACTTTTGTTTCTGACCATGTTAACCTTAACTCAATTTTTCAGGTTGACTACAAACTTATATACTACTAGAGGCCTGATGCACAAAATTTGGGCAAGAGTAGGCCTTGCTTCCCCTGGCTGGCAGCACCAGCTGACTTTGGCACCCAGGACCCTGACTTCTCTCCGGCCACCAGCAGGCACTCGGGATCTGGGCTTCCTGCGCAGCCCCGGCTTCGGCTTCTTCTGGAAGGTCGTCCGGGAGGACATCCGGTCTAATTAGCATATTACTTTTATTATTATAGATAAGTTATTTTCTTCTTCTTTGAAAAATAAACTTATATTATAGCACTCCTAAAGACAGAATCAGTCTTTTGAAATTAAACTCTTCATAAAGAGATCTAGAAAGGTTAGATCCAGAAAGATTAAAATCCAAGGTCTTGAATACATTTCCTTATAATCCAATTGCCCCAAATTTCAAACAGAAGTGATTTAAGACCAGATTTTTAAAAAAAGAAATGAACTATGAATTAATAATGCCACTGAACAAGTGGCTTGCAAAACCTCACAGGCATAGTTCACAAAACAAAGCATTACCATTTTTTATTAAGATTAAATAAATAGATTTTAAGAATGACTGCTGTATTCTACAATTTTAACTGAGAACAAAAGCTGCCTGGGATATAATCAAAACTATGCTTCTCCGCTGTATAACCATATCTCAATAACAAAAACAGCAGTCACAGCTCTGTTCTTGCTCTGATAAGAGAATTTAAGCAATATACAATTGTGTAATGACTTTCTCCTCTGAGGCTGCATTTCGAGAAAAAAAAAATTCACATTTCAGAGAAATGGTTTCAGAGCCTCAAGAATAAGCTATGAAAGCTATCCATCACAACCCTGGGATTTATTATCTCTTTAACCTCAAGTATACTTGGGAACAGCGGCTACTCCAGCATCATCTACACTAATAAAAGAGAAACATGCAAATTAACCATCACTCTGTCACTCCGCTATACCCACCAGCCAATCAGAGTGACTATGAAAATTAACCCAACAAAGATGGCGGTTCATTTGCATACACAGGCGCAGAGCGAAGACTGAAGACAACTAAAGATGGCGGCAGCCGCGGAGCTGGAGCAAGCAGGAGGCTTGGGTTGCTCCCGGTGATGGAGGAAGCCAAGCTTCCCGCCGGCCCTGGGCTCTTCTCAAGGAGGGGTTGGGGGGCTGGGCCCCGCACAAAGAGCTGGGAAAAAAAAAAAAAAGGAGGGGCCGGGAGCAGCTGAAGCGGAAAAGCCAAGCCTCACTGCTGTGGCCGGACCAAAGGCCTAGGTCCCAGGGGCCAGAGTTAAACCGGTGCCGGCAGCCAGGGTAAGGAAGGCCTATTGCACGAATCTTCGTGCAACAGGCCACTAGTGATTTGTATATAAGAAAATGCACAAATCAGATAATTCTGTAAAAATATTAAAAGCAAAGTAGAAAGGTAAACGGATAGCTCCTATAGAAGCTATCACTGAAAGAGACTCTAGAGGCCTCCTAATTTAAAACTGATTGGATGTGGATAAGGACCAATCCTTTCACCTTCCTGTACATTTAGTAAAAAAATACTATCTTAAGAATTTACAATCTTAGCAGAAATTAAAAGTTTTCCTCTCTTTCAAATAGAGAAATTGCTAAGAACTCTTTCGGGCTATACTCTACTATAAAATCCCTAGGTATATTAGGAACAATGACTCTCAGGCTTTCTACCTCAAGCATCCTGGAATTTTTATTCAGAAATCATCAAGCTAATCCATCAGACTACTCCATCAGAGATCTGAAATAGCAGAGCTATACAGAATGGCAAGATATCACTGGGGATGACTTGGCCTGGGCATTACTAGCACAAGGGATAGTCAGCAGCTAGTGTGCCAAGGAAAAGCGTGTCATCACTTGGCATTGTAATTTCCTGAGTTAGAAAGAAAATAACAGCTGTATAAAATTTCACTGTACAAAGAACTTTCCAATTCATTATTTCATCCATTCTAATATTTATAATAAATGTAGAGATATATTATTGTTTACTATGCAAATGAGGAAAGTAAGACTAAGAGAGAATAACTTGTCCAATGTTATAAAGCTTTAGCAGAACTCTTCACTTGCCTCATGCTGCCTCTGCTATATTTTACAACCTTCCTACTACAGCTGAAAGACTAACTTTGTATACCATTATACCTCTAAAGCAGCAGATGTTTCTGAAAACATGATATAAAAAGAGTAATAAGAAGTAAGAGAATAAATGAATAATCTTTTACAGTTTTTAGGCCTCAATCATTCAGTTATTAACAGCTAAAAAGTTCTTTCTAAAAATACTCTGGCAGCATTAGATTTCGAAACTTCTCCCCCGCACCCCCCAAAGCACATGGAAAACAAAAATGTAAAACAACTGATTCTGTGATATTCAATCATTTAACATTTGCTACTGGAAAGAAGATAATTTTGGGTCTTAGCAATAAAGCAGCATTTTAAGCTCTGCTAACAAGAGACCAAAAGCTAGAAATCATAAAAAATCTGCCTCATTTTTAAAAAGAAGTCACCACTTTGCTCAATACTAAACTTCCAACAATACATAGTATAGTGAATCTCAAACTAATTACAATAAAATTGGTCTCTCAAAAACGCCACTGTCTCCAAGGAGCAACAACTGCAGAACAGTGGTAACACAGAGGCTCCAGGCCCTCTCTCTGGCCAAAAGACTCCAGGAATCCTCTATTTCAATTAAAACTCACTCAGGTGGTATTAATTTCCTATCATAACTAGAATACAATTAAATCCCCTACTCTTTACCACAATAGATAAATCTTAAATATATAAATCACAATAGGCTCCTCA